CATGCCATCTCCAAGAAACTTCAAAGAAGTACAACAGTTGACTGGGCGGATTGCGGCTCTGAATCGTTTTATCTCGAGATCAACAGATAAATCGTTACCTTTCTACCAAATTCTAAAAGGGAACAAAGGATTCCTTTGGGATAAGAAGTGCGAAGAAGCTTTTGGGCAGCTTAAGGCATACTTATCCACTCCACCTATACTGTCCAAACCAGAAGTGGATGAAAAACTTTATTTGTACGTGTCGGTTTCAAGTCACGCGGTTAGTGGAGTCTTGGTTCGGGAAGACCGTGGGGAGCAGAAACCAATTTACTACGTAAGCAAGTCAATGACGGATCCGGAAACAAGATACACAATGATGGAAAAACTTGCACTCGCGGTGGTAACTTCGGCTCGGAAGCTGCGCCCATATTTTCAATCCCATCCGGTTGAAGTATTAACCAACCAACCACTCCGAACAATACTTCATAGTCCAAATCAGTCCGGACGTTTGGCGAAATGGGCGGTGGAGTTAAGCGAGTACGATATAGAATTCAAAAGCCGGATCAGTATGAAAGCTCAGGTTTTAGCAGATTTCTTAACCGAGTTACCAGTACCTGGAACGATAGAGCAACCGGAGAACCAAACTTGGAAATTACACGTAGACGGGTCTTCAACAAAGCAAGGATCCGGAGTGGGAATCAAGTTGGAATCTCCAACATCAGAAATTCTAGAACAATCATTCCGGTTGTTATTCAATGCCTCCAACAATGAGGCAGAATACGAAGCCCTGATTGCCGGACTTCGATTAGCACAAGGAGTTGGACCTAAGGAAATATTGGCTTATTGCGATTCGCAATTAGTAGTTAACCAATTTAATGGAGACTATGAAGCCAAAGATTCAAGAATGGAAGCATACCTCGAAGTGGTGAAGGATTTATCTAAAAATTTCTCGAAATTCGAATTAATCCGCATACCTCGGGGAGAGAATACAACTGCGGATGCACTTGCCGCATTGGCGTCAACATCAGATCCTGAGTTAAAGAGAGTTATTCCAGTGGAATGCATTTCGGAGCGAAGCATTCAAGACAGCAAAGAAACCCTCGTCGTTACAAGGTCTCGAGCAGCGGCACGCGAACGTGGCGAACCAGATATCGAAACGCCACCCAACAAACGAAGGAAGTCAAAGGGATCGAATACATCTAACAAGGAACCCGTTGTCTTAGCTGAAGAGGTGATTCCAGAAACAATGTTAGAAACCGAGCCGTTAATCGAGGAGGATGTTCTTGAACCAAACGAGCATCCCGAGCCAGAGCCACGAATATTTCACAAAGTTGACCAAATTCCGGCTAAAGACTGGGGGGCTGACTGGAGGGAGCCAATAAAGCACTACATCATGACAGGTGAGCTCCCAAAGAATAAATGGCAGGCCAGGAAAATGAAAATCGTTAGCGCGAAATTTTGTCTGTCAAAGGATGCGTTATATAGACGAGGTGTCAGTGACCCTTACCTATATTATGCATTTTTGGGCCCGAAGTCGAAATCGTCATGAGCGAAGTGCATGAAGGATTATGTGGGAGTCATTCATCAGGAAGAGCTATGGCTTTTAAAGTTAAAAGAATGGGGTATTATTGGCCCACTATGATCACAGATTGTGTTAAGTTCGCCCAAAGATGCAAGCGCTGCCAACTCCATGCACCATTGATCCATCAACCGTCGGAATTATTCTCCTCCATTTCCGCCCCATACCCGTTTATGAGGTGGTCAATGGACATCATTGGACCATTGCACAAATCAACTCGAGGTGTACAGTACTTTTTAGTCCTTACGGACTACTTTTCAAAATGGATTGAAGCTGAGGCGTATGTTGGTATCAAGGATTCGGCGGTGAAGACCTTTATTTGGAAAAACATTATATGTCGACATGGAGTTCCATACGAAATAGTCACTGATAATGGACCACAATTCATTTCACACGAGTTTGATGCCTTTTGTGCGGACTGGGGAATCAAAGTTAGTTATTCTACTCCACGATATCCGCAAGGAAACGGTCAAGCTGAAGCCGCGAACAAGACAATATTAGCAATCTCAAGAAACGCTTAAGTTATCTAAAGGGAGGATGGTATGAAGAACTCCAACCCGTCCTGTGGGCCTATCGTACAACCCCTAGGCGACCTACAGGAGAAACTCCATTCTCTTTGGTTTATGGCATGGAGGCGGTAGTACCAGCTGAACTCAATGTGCCCGGACTTCGCCGAACAGAAGCACCGTTAAATGAGGAGGAAAATTCAGCAATGCTTAATGATTCACTAGATACCATAAATGAAAGGCGTGATCAAGCTCTAATTCGGATCCAGAATTACCAGCAGGCAGCAGCCCGGTATTACAATTCTAAGGTTAAAAGTAGGCCTTTCTTCGTGGGATATTATATATTAAGGCGCGTCTTTGACAACAAAAAAGAAGAAGGTGCCGGTAAACTCGGTATTAATTGGGAAGGACCTTACATTATTACCGAAGTGGTTCGGAACGGTGTTTATAGGTTAAAAGACTTAGAAGACAATCCAGTCAAGCGACCTTGGAATGTGATCAACCTAAAGAAGTTTTATGTCTAAAGCTACATGCATTGTTTATGTACATGAACTACGATGTGGCTTGATCCCGAAATGGGTACGTAGGCAGCTCGGAAACGAGTTCAGCTATTAATAAAATTTGTTTTATTTCTTTATTAAAGGAAAAAGGTTCGACTGTGCGAACAAGTGAAGCAAATAAAGGTTCGGCTATACGAACATACAAGAGGTTGGAAATAGAGCATTTATTCAAAAGACGGGATGTCGCTCGTCGTACACTTCGGACTATGAAAATCTTGTCGATGAGCAGAACACTTCAACTCCTTGACCAGCAAGATCGAGGATTGGCATCATGCAGTCCGGAATTCGAGCAAAGTCAGATATTCCAAGCTCAATCCACTCTCCGGGGTGAGATTCAAGGATGTGAAGATCTCTTGACACCGTAGTAAGCCTGCGTTGCATCCGGTTAATCCTCTTCCGGAGTCTCCTCTTTTCCAACATAAACTTCCGGTGTTGAAGCGCGAGTGCCTCTATGAACGCCGTCGCTGTCCCTTGGTCTCTGATTGGGAGATCCCTGATCAAAGCACATGGGGCTCGAATCTGAGATCTTAAGAAGCCGCGAAGTGGAGGAAGCTGCCTGCTTGGCTCATTCGGAACATCTTCGTTTATCATTCCGATTCTGGAGAAGTCGGGCATAGATTCTGAACAGCGAAGATTGAACTCCATACCTACTAAAATGAAAAGAATGGTGAGGAGTAAAGGGAAATTGAGACTATAATTTATAGGAACGTCATATCCCTAGCAAGCTGCAGGTTCTATCCTAGGAATGGAGTGATTCGCGGAGAGATTTATGCCCTCGAACAGATCCTGCATTAAAAGGCGTATCTCCGAGAATATTTGAAAATAAGGAAAATTGCGAATGTTTCCATAAATAAAAAGGGGCCGAAGCCCATTACGAGTTCAAAATAAAGAAGAAGTTAGAGAACATTTATGGAAGAGGCTCAGGAACAGGCTCCTTCATCGCCGGTTTAGTCTTCGAAGTGGACGCCTTGTTCTTGGCATCCACTTCGGGATGATCCCGAACGCGTTTCCGACAGGTGCTGGCCTCCTCCTCGTCTTCTTCCTCGCTGTCAGATGGAACGGTATGGACCGGAGCATTCACAGGACCCGGAACTCCTCTAGCACGGAGATACATCCGAAGCATCTTCAGGATCTCAGCAACAGAATCGAAGTTCCGCCATTCCCATTGAAAGGGATCACTTTCCAAAGCCCGTATCTTCCTCTCCACCCGAGCGATGCGAGCCTCGAGCGTTTGCCTTTTGAGGCCCAGCCGTTGCCTCTCTTCACACAAGCGACTGTGCTTGTTGGCAACCTAGCATAAAGATGAATGAATAAGATGAAACAAGAAGTTTTTAAATCAAAAAACTTTAAATAGTTGCCTTGTCAATAAAGTCGTAAGCCTCCTTGTTCTCCTTCGAAGGAAAGTGGAAGACGGCGTGAGGAAAAAGAACGCCGGCCGGTTCAAAGCCGTCGCCGGACAAGAAGAGTGGGCTGCCGGGATCAACGGGGGCTACTTTTTCGTTTTCCATTCTCGTAATATTACTCAAGTAAGATTCTAAAAACGAAGTTAAATAAAGCTTAGAGGTAGGTAAGCCTTTATTTATAATGATTTAGGGTTGTCTTGGAACCATAAATCCAATAATGGTAGTGTGCCCGAGTGGTTTAACCCCTTTTTTGGAAAATCGAGAAAGGGCAGTTATTGCATTAAAGACGAGCCGTTTCCCTACTTTTTAAAAAAAAAAAAAAAAAAAGAGCAACCGTCGCATTAACTACAAAAGTTTCTGAGGCCCAAGCCCAATAAATTTATCGAGTTGACTAAACCCGAAGTGGGGAACTCGCTTTAAGCCGAGCTCAGTTCTCGCATTCTAAAGAGAAAGGTCTGATCAGCCTAAAAATCTCAAAAGCATAACCACAAGGCCACAAAAGGTTAAAAGCGGACTTTGCAAACCCGCATATAATTTTAACCAAACCCCCTCGGGTCATAACCTAGAAAGGTTTAAAAGCCTCCTCAGACAAGTATCTTGTTCAAAAGAAATAATAAAGCCTCCTTAGGCCAAAAATAAGTTCGAAATTAAGTTTAAACTAAATGGGACAATCCCCAATTTAAAGTGGACGCAGCCACTACGGAATGATATCCACCTCGGACTCCGGCTCAGCAACCGAAGTTTCATTCACCTCCTTGACTGGTGCTTGGTCGGATGGAGCTCTTGGTCCGCCCTCTACATTACAACCATCCTCCGGAGTGACCGCCGGTGCCGCAGGTACCTCGGGTGGGACGACATCCTCCGCCTCACTTGAACCTGGGAAGGACAGTTCCAGTCAACTTTTTAAAAAAAAAAAAACATAAGGTGAGATAAAGGTAGTAAGTGTCAGGAGCCAAGCGTTACCTGCCCAGTCTAGACCCGATTCACTTATAGGAGGCGATTCAGTGAAGAATTCCTCGAAATCCTGCGGGTTGAAGGTCGAAGTGGGAAGAGCTGCCAAGCGACTCCGCTTTTCAGAAAGATTAGCCGACAGTTCGGTCCTTTCTTGCTCCTCGGAGAAATCCGTATCATGGATTTGATCCAACAGAATCAGGTTGCTCTCGTGCTCCTTGATGTCTGATTCCAAATCTGACCTAGCCTTCTCGGTCTGCATGAAGCGGATGGCCCCTTGGATCAACTCCATCCCGCTCTTCTTAACTTCCTTTCTGGCTTTCGATGCCGACCTTGCCAACTCGGAATCACGCAATTTGGCAATCGCCTTGTACTTCGCGTTAAGCTCAATGAGTTGGTTATTCAGGGTATCGGCGGTTGATTCGGATTCGTGAAGCCTACCCTGAACACCAGAAAGCTCATCCTGGAGTTTGAAATTTTGGTCGTACTGATCCTGCAGCTCCCCCTTAATCTTCGCCAGCTCGGATGTTAGACTGTCGACTTTGTCCTCCAGGTCGTGCTTGGAGCCGGTAGAAGAGCTTAGTTCAGCCTCAAGAGCAGAAAGTTTTTTCTTCCACGCGTCAATCTCCTTTTCCTGACCAAGGACCAGCCCCTCATAATGTTCAACCATGTCGTTAAGCTCACCGTTAGCCTGCCATTATGCATGAAATTGAGATGATGAGGCATTTCGATGAACGGCAACACAATCGGAAAATTAAAGCGAAACTAACCCGAGATGAATGATAAGCATGGAGCAAATAGCGTTCACGAATCGCAGGGCGCCACTTGTCGAAGTCTGGCAAGGTCGAACCCGATCGGGTCTTGAAGCATCGGAAAACGCTGCCTTCCTTCTCCATAGCTGCAAAGGAGGAAGAGTTGTAAAAATTGGAATCTGAATAGAGACAAAAACTTTTGAGACAGTGTAAATCATCAAACCTGAAAGCGATTTGACTTGAGGGACAAGAGCAGGCTTTAACCTCGAGGAAGCATCTCGGGATTCAGAATCCCCTTTTGTTGGAGATGCGCTCCGTGCAGTCTTTTTACTGTCAGGCAGGGAAGAGGAAGACATTTCAACCGGTCGTGGAGGACCCATTGGTTCAATAGGAGGGGATGATCGAGGTGAACGCTCAGTCCGGGGCCTTGACTTCTCCCTTCGCGGGGAAGAATCACTACGAGAGGACTTGTCTCTCTTCCTACGAACCAAGTTCTTAAGTGGTTCGTTGCTAAAGACATCTCGGGGGGGACGAGGTGAATCACGGCGAGGAGATCGGTCCCTCCGAGGAGAACGTGAGTCACGATGATCACGACGGGGAGTTAATCTGAAAGAAGCAACAGATCTGGCTCCTTCGGTGCTGCCATCATCAACCAGCAGGGTCCTACTGTAGTCCTTCTTATCTATAGAAGTCGCGAGAAACTTTTTCTTCTCCTCACAAGCCTCAGCTACCGGCTTGGAAAGCACCTTACGCTTGGCCGCAAGAGCCCGAGATGACATCCTTTGAGTTGAGGGAGGAGGCGGAAGTTGGTGAAGTTGACCCGGTGGACTCATCCTGAGCTTGTGGTTAGCTTCTAGGAATCGTTCAAGAGTGAAAGAATTCCAAAGGGTTTCCCCTTCGAGGATTATCTTGAAGAATTCGATGAACCCTTCGGATGGGAGAATGGAACCGATGAAAGCTGCGAAATGAAACAACAGTTTTAGTCAATAAAGATAATAAAACAACCGGAAAAGATATATGCGACCTAATCTCTACCAGGCTTCGCAGACCACTTCGATGGGAGTAAATCTGCAAGATTTCCAATCGAAGCGGGAGTTTTCTTAATCAGAAACCAAGGATGGTGCCAATTTTCATCCTTGTTTGGAAGGTGCGAGATGATGTTTCTATTAGCGTTCGGATATGCTGAGAAGTACCCCGTCTTCTTCGATGAACTTCTTACGCTTAGAAGCTCATTTAGTTCAGTGACTCCGATAACATATCCGGCCTCCGCCGCGATTGTTATAATTCCGAGGATAGTACGAAGAAGATTAGGGGTTAATTGAGGAAGAGCAATTTCAAGAGCTGCTAGGTATCGAACTAGGGCTTCGGGAAGAGGAAAGGTCAGCCCGCAACCTTTAAAATAGATCTCGTATACACAGAAGTAGCCGTCGCGGTGGCTTTCTGGGGACTCCGTAGGATCAGCTATCTGCGCCTCTGCCATAATTCCCGGTGGGATTTGGCAGAGCCCCTTCAATCGCTCAAGGGATTGAAGGGTGCAGGTGGATCTATAGTGCGGACCGGCAATGTCATTAGGGCGGGTGCACTCATCATTGCTAGAACGCCTCTCATCGAAGGACGGAGACTCGGGTCTATCGGAATCGGAAGTCATTGGGAATTTCAAGTTTCGCCAAAAAAGAAAATTTGGAGAGAGAAGTAGAAGGAGTTTTAACCACAATGATCAAGAGTAAAAGAAAGAATGAAAAAGAAAGTTACCTCAAGCTAGGTGATAATGATGAAACCGTCTTGGGAATCGTGGAAGAAGTGGGAAGGTTTTTTCCCGCTTTAATAGTAAATAATCGATATACGGTCATAATGGCGACAGATGTCACGCGACTAAATATGGGTAGCGCCGAAATTAAAGGTCTGATGGGATCTTGGCGGGAAAAATCAGAAGATTCCTCGGAACGCAATCTTTGGTCATTAAAGCATTTAAAAGTCCTCCGAATTGGAATAGTACTTCGAAGAACTTGGGGGGCTAACTGTTGGTGTCGGATCCCGCACCAGAAGTCCGAGACCAACCAAAGATTGTCTCCACTTTCAAACCTCTTCTCCAGCTTGGTTCTATTTGTTTGCTTGAGGGCAAGCAAGAGCTAAGTTTGGGGGAGTTGATATCTCTGTATTTTACCTCTTTTTAGCACACATTTCTTATGCATTTAGCTTAGTTTCCTCTCTGTTTCATTGCATTAATAGTCCTTTTTCATAAGATTTTCATCACTTAGTACGATTTGCATTGCATGGCATAGCATGTTGCATATTGGATGAGTTTTAGGTACTTTGGAGCTTATTTGGGACTTGATGGAGCAAGGAGGAACCAACACGACCTTGGAGCTAGACTTGGGATCGAATTGGAGAGGAATGAAGTCGTTCAAGATCACCCAGGAGCAGTCTCGACCTGCAGGCTCTACGACACGTCGAGTAGGACGCCAAGAAGCAGACTGGGAGCAGTCTCGACCTGCAGGCTCTACGACACGTCGAGTAGGACGCCAAGAAGCAGACTGGGAGCAGACTCGACCAGACAGACTCGATGACACGTCGAGATGGACGTCAAGGCGCCACCTTTGAAGATCAGACGGTCTCGACGTGGCTGGCTCGACGTCACGTCGAGTTGGCCTCCACCGACTCTCTATTTTGTCCTGTAGCCAATTAGGGCAACCTAGTATTTCCTATAAATAGGGGTACATGCTATTGTCCAGAGGATATTCTTATTACCCAGCAGATATTCTTCTTTTCTCTCATAAACCCTAGTTTTTGTAATCGTTTTTCCTGTTGATCCTTTGAGTTTTTGGATTTCGTTTCTTCATCAAAGTTGTAGATCTGCCTCTTATCTATATCATACTTGCTTTTCAATGATTTCTGGGTTTGAAACGTTTTCTGGGTTTTTATGCATGATGTTCTTCAGTGTTCTTGAGTAGTGGATTAGGGTTCTTGAGGATGGGATAGATTAGGTGTGGAATCCTTAGTATATTTAGGTGGTTAAGTGTAGAATTGCTTGATTTCCTTTCTGGTTTAGTAGATCTTAATGCTATTTCCTCTCTGATCAATTGGAAGTTGATCTCAGACATTTCCACACCCAAAAGGTGTTTGATGAAATGTCTGAACCAACTATTCCAGAGATTTGCATACTCTAGCCCAAGAGATTGGATGTTTAGAATGCTTATTGACTTTATTAGATTGAATCATAATGCCTGCTAGGTTATATTTCTTCAATGAGAATTGAGTATGAAAGTGATTTAGCTTGAGAATCTCTGTCACGAGAGTGGATTGATTTGTATTCGAATCTATTGTCTAGGGATAGCTTGATTGAGTTTGTTAACCACCTAGGTAGACTAAGGAGACTGCCATAATCGATTACCCCATTCCTCAGGACCTTTTATCTCTATTGATTGTTTAAATCTCGTTTCTGTTAACTTTTGTGACCATCTCGACCTGTTAGGCCTAGATCGTTTCTCTGCATTGTTAGGTTGCTAGTTTCTTTTCCAAAGCTTATGCATGATAGTTTCTGGTCTTTAGTTTACTTCTTGCTCTTGTTTACTTGCTGTTTAGTTCTCTTTTATTGCTTTTAAATTCGGTATTTGCATGTTAAATTGGTTGCTTAGGATCAATAGAAACACACAAAACCCTTTCACAATTGGCTTGACTTATTTGCTTTCTGTTTCATATCTTGAATGCTTGCAGTCACACTGAGATTGGATTGATAACCTAATATACTACAATGGCATGTGTATTAGGGATTGATACATGTTAGATAGACAAAATCTCATTATCATTGTCACCACTTCGAGAATCCGAAGTGACTGCACTGTGACATGAGTTCGGTGTAGAAGACACGGGTAAGTCGGTTCAAGGACACTTGGGCCAAAAAGGCGAGGCCCAAGAAGATCAGAGTCAACTCAAATTCAAACGTTGAGCATTAAAGTCAAGGAATCAAAACGGACACATTTAAGAAGGAATAATTGTACTTAATTACTCATTTTAATGTCGTTTCTCTATGTATAAATATAAAGGCCAATGGCCATGTAAAGGGATCTCCCTCTGGAGCAAGAAATACAATAGCAATTTATGTAGCAATTCATAAGCCTTTTCACGTTCTTACTTTTTGTCCCTCAAGAATCATCTTTCCTATTAATAAAAATACTTGAGTGTGTAAATCCGACATCCACACCCTTGTTTACGCTTATTTGTCTGCAGGTGAAAAAAGTAAAAAAAAGTCCCCTGTAAGTACTTTGAATATATTTCATTATAAACATTTAAAACATATCTCTAAATTGACCTTCATTTTGTAAGAAATCTTCTTTTATAATATTGAATACTAACCTCTTTTCTTTCTCTGACATATCTCTTCTTTCTACAGTACTTCTTACTTTCAGAACTTTTCTTACATGCCTCATTGTTTGTTTCAGAAACTGAAATTCCTTCCTTCTCCTTATCCTAACTATCTTCAGAGATAATATTGAAATTTGGAGTAGAGAAATTTGGGGTAGGGGTTTTATCCTATAAAAGTGTTTAAAACCATAGGATTAGTACCAAAAATGATTCTCAGATAATAATGAAATTTGGAGTAGAGAAATTTAGGGTAGGGTTTTCAAAAAGTTGTTACACTTGTAAGATCTATATAAAATCTTTTTAAAACCCTTGTAAAACCCTTTAAAACACTTTAAAACCCCTTGTAAAATCCTTATAAAACCCTTGTAAAACATATTAACCCTTGTAAAACCGTTTAAAACACTTTAAAACCTCTTGTAAAACCATAGGATTAGTACCAAAAATGATACTCAGATATCAAGGACTTTTTAAACAAAAGTAGATCAATATACCTTTGATGTAGGTTCAGCTGTATCATCTTCAGAACGAATCTTCTGGCTGTTTTCATCATCTCCAACATAGCTCCCGTCCTCTGTGTTAGGCTCACGAATGGAATCTTCAAATGTACTAGGACCACATTCATCATCTTCTTTGTTATCACCATCGACATCAATTTCACCATCTCTACTTGGACCACATTCATCACCTTCTCTGCTATCACCATCAACACCAATATCACCATCTATATTGGGACAAGCTTTGTCAGACTGCTACAGAATCAAAACAATCATATTCAGTAAACAAAAAACAATATGTAACAAAAAAGTTTGGTTCAAGAGGTGTGTGTGTGAACAGTTAAGAACTTTTTAAAAACTTTGGTTCAAGAGAGTGTTGCCCAGCTATGGATCCTATAATAATAATAATACTTAACGGATCAAAAAAAGTTTGAATACCTTTGTAAGAACTTTTTAAAAAACCTTGTAAATTATTTAAGATGAGTTATAAAAACTTTTTAAAAACATTCTGAATACTTGTAAAAAGCTATCCGAATTTTGATTGAAAAGGATTTAATAAAATTATTCACATACCTCTTCTGTTCTGGCACATGTTTCTTCTTGTATATCAGACTGCAGAAAAAAGGATACAGATATCTTAATATATACTATATACACATGTAACTGACAAAAAAAAAAAAAAAAAAAAAAATCCCATTTAATTACCTCTTTTTTTTTGCATCTCTCAGTCTCATCTTTTTCAAGACGGCTTTTAAGAACATACTCTATTACTGCAATCCTCCTGTTGAAGTCTTGAAGTAAATTTAGGATCTTGTCGAGTTTCTGGCTGTCAGACAAGTTGTTATTCATTGTTTGTTCCCCTATTTCTTGTAATACAGTAAAAATATCAACAAATCCAGCACTCCAATCAGTTGCTTTGAGTCTGTATCCATTTTGAACAAGACGAACAATTTCTTCGAAGTCTATGTCGTCTTCATGCGAACTAGCAACTAAATAGCTATATTCGTACGGGTTTCCAATCACTGTATTAACCTTGACCTGGCAAAAGAAAAGAACTTGTAAAACCTTTAAAAACTCTTGTAAAAATATGATATATGTTGAACATCAATCTTAAAACTAAGGCAATTAAAAGAGGGGATTCCACACTTACTGAGTTCATTTTTTTGACGACATCGACAACATGAGAAAATCTTGGTGTTTGAGTTGTTTCCCATTTCAAACACAAAGGATACTCAGATCTCGATGTAACACATTCTGTTGCAAACGCTGAGCCCAAAGATGGAACTGCGCTGAAGGCCCATAGTAGTATCGCCATTGCAAATCCCTTTACTTCATATGTGCCTCTTGCCCAAGTATTCTCATTTATCCGTTGGATGCTTGTAGCAAGAACCCTATATGCATGCTTGCCCCACGGTTGAGATGTGTAGATTGCGAATTCTGAAGCATGTACCAGTCTAGACAAAGGGATTTTCTCCAACGAACCTGGTGTAAAGAGAAAGGCTTCTGTCAAAATTACCATACCTAGACTCAGTTTCTCTTCAGCATCTAGCGGATGCAGCTGATTTGGTTCAAACAAACGTTTTTGGAGTTGTTCCAGCGTAAAATGCTCTTTCTGAGTCCAGAAATATGGAGCTTTTGATGGAGCTTTGCCTTTTCGAAGCATTTCACTATCAATCAGGTCACACTGAACACCTGTAAGTGAATACAAATTTGATATTAGAGTTTTATAAAAACTTGTAAAACACATTGTTAAATGTTTTTAAATACATTGTAAAACTTTTAAAACACATTGTAAATTGATTAAAAACTTACAAAACAAAACTAATTTAGATATACCTGTGGTAAGCAAGAATTCTCTCTCTGAGAATCGCATTGGCTGGGAGTCAAATGTGAACCAGAGATTCTTCTCCTTTAAAAGCAACCTTCGCTGCATCAAGAAGTAGAAAATCTTCCCCGAAAAATTAACTCCACTTCTTTTTGCTAGTTCAATAATAGGACCAAGGAAAGAGGCTTTAATTAGATTAAACTGTTCCTCCCCTAGTGCGAGCTCAACTTTTTTGACCAAATGCGTTTCGAAATGTTGAATAACAACAGCTCCAATGTTTGGTTCAAACCCGGGATTATATATACGGGGCGGTAGGTTAAGCACATCCAATGAGTCATTGTTAGACATCTGCGTAAAAACCAAGCATAAAAACCATATCAAGAATGTAAAACATTTAAAACGGTTGTAAAATACAGCAAAGGAATAGTTCAGCATTTAAGACCTTTTTAAAACGGTTGTAAATTACAGCAAATGAATAATTCAGCATTAAGAACGAACCTTTAAAAAATGTTGTAAAATCCACAGTTAACGGTTATAAAATCAAGAAATGGAATAAATCAGAGAGGATATACCCTAAATCAAGCATTAAGAAGCATTTACAAGTTAAGAACGAACCTTTAAAAATGTTGTAAAATCTACAGTTCAAAATCAAGCAGTCAAATCAAGCGTTATCAGTCAATAATGAGATCAAAAAAGCTTCAAGAAGACCAAACTTTCACAGAAACACAGAATCTAACCACAGAATCAAACCACAGAATCTAACTTCCAAAAGACAAACCTTTCAAAAAAGCTTCTAAAACATAGTGAGGAATCTAACCTGGAATCGATGTGGGACAGATCGAAATAAAACACAGACGGAGACGGAGACGCTGAGAAATCAAAATCGAACAAAAAGATGTTAACGCCGATCGAAATCGAACAGATCAAATCGAAAACGAACAACGAGATTTTACCACCGATAGAAAGCGAAATCGAAAGGAGACGCCGATTTGATATCGGAATCGAGATATCGGAATCGAGATCGGAAAATCGTCGCCGATCGAAATGAGAGAAAGAGAGAGAATGGTTGAGAGAACCGTGCAGATCTTAGGTTATGAAAGCAAGGGTACTTTGGTCATATTTGAATTAATTAAGGGGTATTTTTAAAAATGGCAAGCAAAAAGGGGCAATGTTAAAAAAGGGTGCGTGAAACAGGGCATTATTAACAATTTCTCTTTATTTTAAGGGAGAATTCATCTAAAAAATTAAAAACAACTAATTCAACACGCTTATCTAAATATACATTTTCAAAGTCCATTTTTTAAAAAAAAAAATCCCTAATTTTGAAAAGTGTTTACATTAGGATGTCATTGCTTACCATTAATTCTCTATTATTCATATAGCCAAACATTACTAAAATATTTCTTACATTAATTATAAAATAAAAAATATTAATGTTTCACAATTAAGGATATCAATATTTAGAAGATTTGGTCATGGATTTAAAATTATGATTCTCTTACCATTTTTGTTTGATATTTTAATTGTTTTAAATCATATAAAAATCTCAATTTTCCTTTTCTGCATATATTGTGATTCGAAATTTTAAAAACGGACATATAGTATTCAATTAATGAAAAATTGTGTGTTCAATGTCCCACATCGGATAAAAATATATCAAATCATATAAAAATCAATGTCATATAAAAACCAATACACTTTAATTTAATTTTTGTTGTATAAAATCCGTAAGCATTGAAGAAATTGGTAATACTCAATTACAGTAAAACTTCTATATATAAATTAATAATGTTGGGACTAAAAAATTTTATTAATTTAGAGAGGTATTAATTTATCGATAAATTAATAATTATTAATTTAGAGAGAGATTTTACTAAATTTGTAATTTCTTAAAAACATTTCTATCTAAAAATAAAATTTTTCTTTATAAACAATATCTTTTAAAAACTAGGGAGACTCACAAAAATGCCCCTTTTTCAATACCCCTTTTCAAAAATGCCCCTTTTGGATGTCCATTTTTAAAAATACCCCTTTTATGTACAAAATGACTAAATTACCCTTCTTTTAATAAAAGATATTATAAATATATAAGGAAATATAACAAAATTAGGTCCACAAAATACAAAATATTTTTTTGGCGGGAAAAGTGATCCCCCAATTTTTCCCGCCAAAACACTTGTAAAAATTTGTAAAACCTTTAAAATACCTTGTAAAATTTTCCCGTAAAATTTTTTCCCGCCAAAAAATTTTCCCGCCAAAAAATTTTTTTTGCGGGAAAAGTAATTCCGCAATTTTTTTGGCGTTAAATTTTTGGCGGGAAAATTTTTCCCGCCAAAAATTTACAAGGTGTTTTAAAGGTTTTTTACAAGGTATTTATAAGGTTTTACAATGTATTTTAAAAGGTTTTACAACGTATTTACAAGGTATTTATAAGATATTATAAGATTTTACAAGCTTTTTTATAAGGTTTTTACAAGTTATAAGGTTTTACAAGTTTTTTATAAGGTTTTACAAGTTATAAATACCTTATAAAACCTTAAAAGTACCTTGTAAAACCTTTTAAAATACATTATAAAACCTTACAAAACACTTGTAAATACCTTGTAAAAAACCTTTAAAATACCTTGTAAATTTTTCCCGCCAAAAATTTTCCCGCCAAAAAAATTTCGCAAAAAAAATTGCGGAATCACTTTTCCCGCAAAAAAATTTTTTTGGCGGGAAAATTTTTTGGCGGGAAAATTTTTATGGGAAAATTTTACAAGGTTTTTTAAAGGTTTTTACAAGTGTTTTGGCGGGAAAATTGCGGGATCACTTTTCCCGCCAAAAAATATTTTATATTTTGTGGACCTAATTTTGTTTCAAATAAGGGTAAAATGGTCATTAAAAATTAAAAGAGGGCAAACTTAAAAATGGACTCTCAAAGGGGGCATTTTTGAAAAGGGGTATGGAAAAAGGGGTATTTTTAACAATTTCTCTAAAAACTAATTACAAGTATAGAAAAAATTATTAAGTTTAAAAAACAGCACAAACTTTTTTCGAATAATAGAGTCATATTTCATCAAATTTTTTACATATAATATTTAAAATATATATCATAGTAATTCATATATAACATATATAAATTTATATAATGTATGTATATATATATATATATATATTGATAAGTTAATACAATTATTAATTTATGATATAGATGGGACCATATGTTTATATGGGATTTTTAAAAAAATTATTATCTTATTAATTTATCGATTTATGTCATATTTAACACTGGTTCCAACTCGGAACCAGAAGAATTTCTTAATTTAGAGAAGTTATTAATGTATAGAGTATTAATTATAGAGGTTTTACTGTACAATTTCTTCAAAATTTTGTCACAATTATCTCCTTAATGTTATATTATCAACTTAGAATCATGTTATATGTATTTCATAAAAATAAAAATTCTTGTAAAATGCATTGAATACATGTGAATGGGACCATAATTCTAAAAAGTTCACAACCGGGTCTTAGCTATCTCACATTTTCTGTCTTAACTAATTTTGTTCTGATATTAGTTTTTTGCCATTTTTCTGCTAGATTTAATGTAACTGTAATACAACAGTATACCATTTTTGGGTCGATTTGAATCGTAGATAACAACTATTTTTGCCAAACCTCTATTTAAACCGAAAACCAAATACAATCAACCCGTTTAAGAATATAAACCGGCTTCTATAAGAAAATAACCGGATCCTCTTTCTCGTGATTGGTGGTTGTACTGAACCAAAGCGCGTGCTCTTCACTCTCACACTCTCACTCTCTCTTCGTCTTCCATTAAATCTCACCGCCTCTTTCACTCTCACTCTCTCAAGCTCAAGAGTTCTCAATCTCCTTCAACAATGGCGGAACAATCTCAATTCAATAATCTCACCCTCACCATCATCATCCTCTGCTTCTCCTTCCAATCACTATCCTCCGCCGCTGAATCTCACCTCACCGTCGATTTCTACTCCAAATCTTGCCCTAATTTCCTCGACATTATCCGCGAAACCATCACCAACAAACAGATCTCAACTCCAACAACCGCCGCCGCAGCTCTCCGCCTCTTCTTCCACGACTGCTTCCCTAACGGCTGCGACGCCTCCGTCCTCGTTTCCTCAACCGCTTTCAACACCGCAGAACGCGATTCATCAATCAATCTCTCTCTCCCCGGCGACGGATTCGACGTCGTAATCCGAGCTAAAACAGCTCTAGAACTCGCTTGTCCCAACACAGTCTCTTGCTCCGATATCATCGCCGCCGCGGTACGAGATCTCCTCGTAACCGTCGGTGGTCCTTACTACGAAATCTCCCTCGGCCGTCGCGATTCTCGTGTCTCGAAATCGTCTCTCGTCTCCGATCTCCTCCCACTTCCATCGATGCAGATCTCGAAGCTCATCGATCAATTCAGCTCCAGAGGCTTCTCCGTTCAAGAAATGGTTGCTTTGAGCGGTGCTCACACCATCGGATTCTCACATTGCAAAGAGTTCACTAACCGGGTCAACCCGAATAATAGTACCGGGTATAACCCGAGATTCGCGGTAGCTTTAAAGAAAGCTTGTTTGAATTACAGAAATGACCCTACGATCTCTGTCTTCAACGACGTGATGACTCCAAACAAATTCGATAATATGTATTTCCAGAATATTCCGAAAGGTCTCGGGTTACTTGAATCGGATCACGGGTTATTCTCCGACCCGAGAACCCGTCCGTTTGTTGAGTTATACGCGAGAGACCAAGCTCGATTCTTTAAAGACTTCGCCGGAGCTATGCAGAAGTTGAGTCTTCACGGTGTTTTGACCGGACGGCGAGGAGAGATCCGACGAAGGTGTGATGCGATCAACTAAAAAGATTCTTCTTGATTGGTTTTACGATTTGTGAGATTTCTATTTATTTTTATTTTGTTTTGACAATCAATTTTTATTTTTGTTTATTTATTTAATTGTTGGTGCGTTTAGAGCAAAAGTATGTGTTCCCGTGTTTATACGACGACTAGGATATGACCCGCGGTATACCGCGGGTTAATTATTTGATTTTTTATCTTTTTATAAGTTGATGAATTTGTTGTGTATAATATTTTTTGTTCTACATCGCGGGTCATATGCGTTGTATCTAAAAAATAAAAAATTTAAGTTGTATTTGTTTTATTTAGTATTTAAGATTGTATAATTGCATTTTGATTTGTTAATTCTAGAATTTCACCCGTGGTATATTGTCCCGTATTAATATCGACCTAAATCCGTCCCACCATATAATCCCGTCTTGTGGAATTAAACATCATTTTGTTATTTACTTAATAACACTTTTATTTAAAAAAAACATATAATTCGAGTCAATTTAAAAGTTTGCTTTCAAATGGTTTTCATTATATATATATATATATATTTTTAAATTAGTGTGTGTGTTTTTACCAACCCTTAAAAATAATTTATAATTGTATCTTAAAATACTAAATACTTCTATTTTGATTTGTTAATTTTAAGATTTCACCCGTAGTATACTGTCCCGTTTCAGATAATTGTAGCAATTAAGGAAAGATCCGAATGACTCAATTTCGGGTTAGAATAAAAAAAAACGACCTAATTAAATGCGCAATTAGTTATTCAAAAATGTTAATATAGATTACACACATATATTTTTCTTCATCGATTGAGTAATATATGTTCGTTTTAAAAAATTTGAATCATAACATATGTAGAAAAAAAAACTAAAATTTATTAACAATATATATTTTATAATAATTCAAAATAATATAAATATAAGATCAAATAAAAGTGAAATGAGAATTATATATTTATGTTTAAATTAGGTAGAGAGGTTTTAGGAAATTAGTTTAAATTTATTATATTAACATTAAATCTTCATATTTGATTTCCTTACCTATAAAAAATCGTAAAAAACATACCATAATTAAAGAGTCTAGATATAGTAATTAGTTGAGAAAATATATATATTTTAGATTTATTAATTAATTTTGTTTTTGAATTTTGCCAAAATTTAAGAAAATATCCGATTGAAGATTTCCGGGTCAAAATCAGAAAAAAACCCGACCCGATTGGAAGGAGCAAATTTGTACTTCAAAAATGTTAAGTAGATTGAAATTCATATTATTAGTCGATAAAAAAAATAAAATTTATTTTTAATAAAGATAATTACAATTTAAATGGAAAAATTTAAGCATAAAAGGAAATTGATTTACTAGAAAGAAGGAAAAAAACAAACCCTGGAGCAAGGTAAGATAGAGAGAACGTGAGAGATCGATCATGGCAACTTCAACAGGTGAAACAACAAGTTTAACACATAAGGAAGTTAACGTGGCTGCAGAAGTATTGATAGAATTGAGCCAATATTGACCTCGATATCAAAAACAGTCACCAGAAGAAGAAGATACAGATGATGAAGAGGATATAGATGATGAAGACGATACAGATGATGAGGTTGCGTCGACTCCATTATTACAAATAAGCCAAAGTCGTCAAAAGCAGTCTAGGAAGAGGGAAGAAAAATCTGACAAAAATCAACCTAAGAGGGTTAAAAAACATAACATCATGAAAATAAATATCGATGACTTTTCAGAAGAAACTCTGAGGTCAATTGAGGTATGGTACAAAGATGAACTCGATCCACAAGATATATTCGGCGATAATGAGGTGACGAAGCAATTCAGCAAACCGATAAAGAAGCAGTTGATGTCGAGCGACGTCGATAAAGATCAATGCAGGCTCATGTTATCTAAGGAGCAAGTGAAGGAGAAGATGCTTCCTTTTCTAGAAGAATCAGAGGATCCGGTAAAGGGAGTTGATGTTTCGGTGTATGGACCAGACGGGGCAGTTCAAAAGATGAAGTTCAAGATTTGGAATGGGGATAAAACACCTGTGTTAACTTCAGGATGGAAGCAGTTTGTGGCAGATTATGGTCTTGTGATGACTTCTGATTTTATCATTGTTTGGATGTTTAGGCACATAAAGACTCGAAACATTTGCTTTGCTATTGCCAACAATAGTTTTCCTTTAAAGAAGAAATCGAGTCGATGATCTTGAAGACTGCTTTCTTGAATCCAAATTAGGGTTTTTGGTTTTTTTTAGGGATTTTGTTTCTTTTTATTTCTGTCTTTTTTTAAGCGTTAACTAAAAGAATTATCAGGGTTATTAATTAAGGTTTTAGTTAAGGGTTTGCTTCGCTATTCAATCCACAAGTATCTTAAACATAGAAAATTAATATTTGACAAGTTAGAAAAATGTGAAAATACGTTTATCAGGTTAGGTGTTACTAACTTAACAATCTCGGATTGAATCTATTTAATATCTTCACACCAAATACGTCCCGTCATATAACCATGTCCTGTAATATAACCGTTCCGTGTTATTTTTACTTTTTATATATGTTCAAATGTTCTTAATATTATAAACATTTTATTGATTTTAAATATATAGATTATAATATTTAAAACTTCTTAAAAACTCGTCACGCCATAAAACCTCGTCTCGCAATATAACATGTCCCGTGTTATTGTAACTCTTTATATATGTTCAAATGTTCATAATATTATAATTTTTTTATTGATTTTAAATATATGAATTATATTATTTAAAAGTCTAAAATTAAATATTTCTGGTATAAGAAAGCAGTTAAACTAAAAACCGAATTAAACAGTATACAAACTTTTTAATTTGGATGTTTGTTAAGTTAAACTTCCTATTCACACATTTTTCATTAATTAGGTAATATATATATCCATTTTTAAAATTTTGAATCACAATATATGCAGAAAAAATAATTGAGTTTTTTTACAATTTGGATGTTTGTTAAGTTAAACTTCTTATTCTCACCTTTTTCATTAATTGGGTAATATATATCCCTTTTTAAAATTTTGAATCACAATATATACTAGAAAAAATAATTGAGTTTTTTTTTTTAATTTTATGTATTATACGAGGATTCAAAATAGTTAAGAGAAAATTCAAATAAAGATGATAGGAGAATCATAATTTTAAATCTTAACCAAATCTTCTAAATATATCTCTATACTATTAAAAGAGAAGTACAAATGAAAATGGGTCGGGTTAAAATCAGAAAATTGACCCGAAATTCTGAAATAGGATCTTTGAAATTTTTTTGGAATATAAATTCGAATTAATAATGAAAAATCGAAATAAAATCAAATATTTATGGAAATCAAATAAAATCTGATTGTACTTATGGTAACTAATAATAAAAGCATATTCCAAACAATATTATACATTAATTACGTATAATAAATTTGTTCATATATTTTTGGGACTAATTCCATAACAATCAACGTTTTTGTCATTAATTTCGCTCATTTTAGCCAATTATCATTAATTGAAAGATATTTTACTTGCTTCTAAAGATTTCTAGAAAATTTATCACAAATAACCCATCTGTTTTATAAATTAAATTGATATTTTTATTTTGGTAGTGTAAATTAAATAGATATTTTTATTTTGGTCGTGTAAATTAAATAGATATGAAATCCATGTAACTAATTTTAATTTAATTAGATTAAATCGAAATTATGATATTTTCATACCTATAGCTTACCAAAGAAGTTTAATTTTCAATTTATAAAACTTTCTTGAATGATTTTAGAATTATTCAACAAGATTATAAGTATTTGATAAATTTTGTGAATCATGAAAAATAATAATTAATTTTTAATCATTATACTTCATCTTTCAATCTCTCATCTAACAAATAAGATACATATTCTATTATTACTATGTCCAAACTTCATTTTATTGTATGACTAAATAATATTCCCATTAGAACTGTCAAAGCGAGTTGATTCGTCCCGTTAAGTCCGTTTTGCGATAGACAAAAAATATTTTGACTTGTAGTTAGTCGGTCCGCACGACCCGCGGGTAGCATATATGAAATACAAACCCGTCCCGCGAATGTATGCGGATTTGCGGGATTGTCCATGGATTTTGTTTAAATAATTTTAAAGTAACCAAAATTTAAAATAATACTAAAATAAATAAATAAATCAAAATACTATTAAAAGTTTGTTTAAATTACCACATGTTGAATAAATTATAATTTTATCAATAAATACTAATATGCGGGCTGATCCGCCAACCCGCGGATGAAAACCGATTAAACCTATGACCCACTGCGAATTAATCCATGTGGCCCGCTTATTTGCGGGTTTAATATATTTTCCCAAATCTGCTCCATTGTGAGATGATGTGGGCTCGACCCGCGGTTTTTGACCTATTTTGACTGCTCTAATTTCCATGAATCGTCTAATTTTAGAATTTTAAAACACAAAATTCTATTTTGTAAATCATAATTAATACGATGGGTATATTTATAACAATTTTACATTTTCTCTACAATTCGTTATTATGAATATTTATAAGTATACTACACGATTCGTTCTACTAAAAAACACACACAATATTAAACACAACGTATGTAAACCAATATTCTCCCGCGGTGGACCGCGGGTCCAATCCTAGTATATTTTAAAATATGGAATATCCGATTCACAATTTCGGATATGTTTTGACCCGATCCAAAAGAAAATATGGAATATCCGGTGTAAGATTTTGAAGTAAATTTTGTATAGGGTCGGATACCAAAAATCTCAAATAAATTTTTAACCCATCCGGTATAAAATATACTTTAAAAAATACTAGCATAGATGAAACAGTCCCACATCGTTTGGTAATTTACAAAACTTCATCAAATCTTATGGTAATTAGAAATTTGTTTCAGATCGTTTCGTATCTACGGAACAGCCACATAATTTTTGATATTTATATAACTTCCAAAAAAAATTGTATTTACAAAATGTTCCCGTATGCCCACATATATATTGTTTTTATAAAAATGCCCCATAAATTTTGATATCTACATAATGACCATTTTATTTATAAAGGTACCCCATATCTTTTGGTATTCATAAAGCTACCCGAGATATTTCTCTTATCCAATTAGCCACCCCAAAATTCATGGTTTTCTTACGGATTAAATCATTTAATTTTTTGCAATCTCTTTCGAATATGATCTTGTTGTATTTTCTAATCTTTGCATGCCATAACAAAATTTGGAACTCAATTTCTAAAGCACAAGTTGAAAACACTCCAACACCTAAATTTTTGAACTAGAGAATCAATTCCCATATCTTAAGGAATTAAAAGTCATCCCTTATTAGTTCCTCTTTACAACTTTTTCATTGTTTCTTTTCTAAATTTTAGAAAAGCAGAAAGATAGAAAGGATGGGATTAACAAAAAGAAAAGCCACCCAAATTGCCAGAAAATTCAAGAATCCACCAACATAAAAATTCACAAAATAAAAAACCTCATCTCCAACTAATTACAAACCCCAACTCTATTATTTAGAAAGTAAAAAAGAAAAAAGAAAAAGTCCCAAAACCCACAATTAAAATTTTTTAAAAAAAATAACGAGTTAAAAAAAGACACGTCAAAACTCGGCCGAGTTAACACACGATTTCTCACCACCGATTCTAAACCGGCTCCGACTAACATCACCGGAATTAAGCAACTCTTCCCAATCAATCTCCTCATTCTCCGGCGAATCATCATCTTCCATTTTAGCTCTCAACACTTCCAAAACTCTTCTCGCCTTCTGCTTAGCTCTTTCTCTCCCACTCCTCTCCACTTTCACCAACTCCTCCACCGCATTCGCCGCCATAGCCAACCCCTTAAACCTCAAACCACCGTCATGACTCAACTCATACAAAACCGCAACACAGCTCTCCCGAGTCGACTCATTAACCTCTCTATCTCCTCTCAAAACCCCAACCATACATTCAACACCACCCGAGTCAAGCAAAGCTGGTCTACTCACCGGACACGAAGCCATATTACAAAGAATCAACAAAACACGACCAATCATCTGTCCTAACTTCACCATGTTCAAAAGCATCTGAACAGCTCCAAGCTTAACTAGCTTCCCTCTATTACTCTGTACAAGCGAAAGATGATACAAAGCTAAAGCCGAGTCATGACGAGTCAACTCAGTACCAACTCGGATCAAATGAAGCAACGGCTCTAAACCTCCGAGAACACCAATCGCCGTCTTGTTTTCATCTTCAAGAGCTAAACTGAAGATAACTCCGGCGGAATGTTCCTGCGCTTCAACGGAACCGCATTTCAAAACGTCGATCAACGGAGGAACGATTCCTGACCGTACGATCTTAACTTTATTAGATTTCTCCAAAGACAAGTTGACAAGAACCGCCGTGACATTAACCTGAACCGTCACGTATCTTGAAACAATCAGTGACTTAAGTGCAGAGATTAGTCTCGTTGTACATAAACTAATTCTTGAACTTTCATCGATTCTTGTAACGCGTCGAATCGAAATCAAAGCTTCTTCAATCTCTGAGATTCGATTACTCTTTAGCTTTGTTAGTAAAGCTTCTTCTTCTGGAGTTAGGTTTGGTTCTAAAGATTCGATTTCTCCAGATGAAGGTGAAGAGAAGCAACTAGGTTTAGTTGTTAATTGTAGTGTACGGCTTGAAGAAGCTATTGACTCGTCGGAGCTTGAATTGAAGTAGTTAGGTCTCCGGTCAAGCTCCGTCGCAGCGTGGTTAAGTCTCACTGATGGTTTATCTCTGATTGCTTTGATAAGTTCCTTCTCTGAAACTGAGACTTTTCTTTGTGGTGTTTTCTCCATTAATGTGAGTATAAGCTTCTCCGCGGCGGCGGAATCGAGTGGCTTTGGCGGTGGAAAACACCGTCGTTCACACCAACTGAGAATTGCGGATTTTAAAGCGAGATTTGGTATGACGGTGGAGAAATCCGGCGGTGGATTTGGTGTAAAGCCTAGGGTTTTTGAAGCGATGACGCAAGCTCTTTCGTAGGAGTGACCAGAAGAGACGATGATTGGATCAGACATTAAAGAACCTGAGATCGGACAGAGAAACTCTGCCGGAATCTCTGTTTTGGTCGGAGAATTGTTTGATGAAGAAGATGAAGAAGAACGGGATAATGAGATTCTCCATTTGGATTTACCGGCGAGAGATTCTCGTCGGGAAAGGTTGTCACTTTTATCGTGTTGTGAGTGAAGAACCATGAGATTGATAACTGGTCGTTGAATCTCCATTAAAGATTGGATTTTTCAGAGTGGAATTGACAAAAGTTGAATTCTTGTTGAAGAAGAAGAAGACCCATGAATGTTGTTGAAACCTTAAAAGATGAGATTTTTGTGGGAGAGATTTGAGGAAACTGTAAATGAGAGATTTTTGGGAGGGAGTTCAGAAGAAGTATGGACTTGGTCATGGTGTTGTATTATCATTATTATTAGTTGTTATGATGTAAAAATTAAAAAATCAAGGTTTTTGGTTTTTGGTAGGTAAAGTGAAGATATGTCCTTTGTGAGAGTTAATTGATTGGAGAATTTTTCTTTGAGTTGAGATTTTGTGGATTCACATGTGTGTTTTTCAACTTTTTTGTATATAGAGCATTAATGATGTTTTTTTCTTTTCTTTCAACATTTATGTACAATCAATTCTTCTTTGGGATTTCCTTTCACAAAAAAAAATTTATATATTTTTGAAACAATTCCTATATATATATATATTTGGTCGATTCAAACCTTTTAGATTTTTCTACCTATGATTTATACAAAAAAATCTTTAATATATATTGATAAAATTAATTTATATTAATATTATTAGTGAGAAGTTAATCATATTCATATGGTGACATAAGATTAGTGATATTAATATACTGATTCTTGGTCAAACTTACATTAATCTAAAAGGTTAATGATATGTCATACGTCTAAGATGGAGCATGCTCAAAAGAAAAGCTTAGTTAATGTTTCATGTTTGATGCAATTATGTGTGTTTTGCTTTATGCAAAAACACTGTTTTTAACCAAGAACAATACTGTCGTTTTCAGCTTTATGAATGTTCAAAAAGTAGAAACTTTTTGCTTTATGTTTTTTGCCCTTTGCTTCCGGGAATTGAATTTGTTTTCTTCTTCAATCACTTTGACAGAAATTTTCTCCAATTTTAGTACTTTGTTTACCCAATGATAGAAATGTTTATTTATCCAGATTTTAAAATGTTTATTTGTTTCCTCATTATATTTCGCTAGACTAGTAAACAAAAGTATTAAATATAATTAACTAGTAAATTAAAATATTCATCTATAGTAAAGGAGAAGATTGAATTAAAACAGATTAATTTACACTAGGCTCAAAGCTTATCACTTTTATAACTGGGAATTTCTCTTTTGTTTTTATTGCATGGGAATAAAGTAAAGAAATGATAACATAAAAAGAGAAAGTAAAACAATTTTAGTAGTTTTGTATTAGAAAAATAAAAATAAATTTAACATTAACAATTGTATTCTTAGTTGCTAAGACTACAGATAGGTCTATGTATAGGTACTGTATGTATTTTGTATGAATATGTATGTGTATACGTGTAATCAATGATGAGAAAGACACAATCTTTAGACTTTGAAGAGTGGTTATAGGCTGTTTATTTCAATTCTTTGCTTACTCTTTTTGCCTTTTCCTAAAGGTAAGATTCGTTGTGCCAATTTTCTTCAATAATAGAAATCAGGAAGTAGAAACACATTCTGTTCACACTTGACTCACAACTTCTTTAAGATTCTGAATGACTGCGGATCGAACGGTGCGAAACAAGCAGATTAAGTAATACAATACGGTTTAATTGTAGTTCGTTGAAAAAAAAACATATAATGTAAAACAAGTGTAGTTCATATAAAACACATAGTACAGAATAATGTGTTAATGGTGAATATTGCAATTACGGTGCAAATATAATAATTATGAAACTTCAGCTAATTATTTCTAATATTTCAAGTTTCAGAAATTTTTTTAATCGAAGAAAGTGTGTAAGTTTGTGAAACTTTATTTATTTGATTTTTAAAGATTTTTTTGTATTAACAAAAAAATAATAAATAATAAATGTATCTTAACCACACTTACGATCAAAACCAAACACTTCTCTATAAATAATACGTTAAAAGTCAAAACTAGTAAATAAACATAAGCTATGAATGGATGATGTGGAAAAGGCGGAGTAAACCGTTAACGGACTAAACCATTCTATTTTTGAAGCGGACAATAAACCGTCGCGGATCAAATTTATCTCTACATAAAAGCGGTTTGTAGTTAGTCCGTCGTGCACTTGTTCTATTTTCTTAATCCGCACTACTACGGATTATAGTTTATGAATGATAAACAAAAAGCGGTCCAAACCGTAAACGGATTTGTCCGCCCTAACCACCGTAACTATTCGAACCCATAGTATCAAGATACGATTTTGAAGTACTTATGTTTTATGTACATTTTATTGCATTGGAAGAGTTTCAGGCTTCTTTTTTTTTGGTATAGTAATTTGTTTTGTTTTGTCTCAAAGTTCAAATTTCAAGTTTTTAAACTGTATAAGTAAATGTATGTCTCTTGTTCCGTTTGTCAATATATGAATAGAATAACATTAACCGACGTCGTTTTAGTTTGGATTTTGACTTTTGAGAAACTAAACCAATGCTAAAACGACATCGCTTTTTATCGGATCGTGGATGATTAAATAGGTAATCCTAATCGCGGTATAGTAAACGTTGATTTATAGTTAAAAATCTGGTTTAATCATCGGTTCAATTAGAGGTGTAATTCATAGGATGAATCCAAAAGTACATATAGTTTTATTGAAATTTAAAAAAAAATTGGTCGTTTTTTGAAAGGAAAAAAGTTCAGCCAACTAAAATAATATTAACAAACGTTATCGCCTTAGCATCAATTTCTATTGGTTAGAAAGACATATAATCTGCTTTACAAAAAAAAAACTCCGGTTTACATAAAATTAGGATTTGGTTCGAATTCGGTTTTGGGGTTTAAAATTTAAATTAGCCCTTCCGACAAAATCGTGCCGTTTACTCTCTTTCATCTATCTCCTCATCTCAAAATCTCTCCTTCCGGCGTTCGTTTCCAAGCTCTCCATTTTTTCCGGCGCAGGTGTGTCGATCTTAGTACAGTCTTCACCAAAATTTTAATGGTGTAATTGGATCGTCTAAGGTTCGTGGGAGTTTTCCTTCTTGTTTTATGAATTTTGATTGTTATCAATCAGAACTGAATCGTGTTGATTGTTGAGTATTGATAAACAACAACAATCAGATACTAATGCTTCATTCTCTCTGATCCGTTACTTCACTTGACTTAATACTGAAAACAATCATAAGCGTGGCATGTAGAAATGACTAGAAATGTGAGCAGCATAGGAACTTGGGTAGGCGACTTTTTTGTGGCTTGGTGATCCCGTTCGTAACTCGTCATCTGCGTTTCTTGGAAGCGAGCATTACGCGGATGTGCTGGTACCTAGAAAAGAAGGAAGATGATGAAGAGACTACATAAACCATAGTAGAGAGATGTGTCAAGAGCAGAATATTCACCTCTTTGTTTAGTCTCTCTTTAAAATGTTCTAAAGCATCAGCTTCAAGAGAATCACAACCCTGTGCATCTAGAAACTGAAGGCTCAGTGGAAGTTCTTCCAGTGATTTGAGTTTCTTGCAGTAATTGATGCAGAGAGTTACCAATGAGGTAAGATCTCTGATACTTGATGGTAGTGTCTTAAAGTCATGGCTGCTGAGATCTAAATATGTCAAGTGAAGTGACTAAGCTGATCTGACAATGACTTCACATTCTTGCAGTTGTCAAGGCAAAGCTCAAGCAAACAGTATATGCCCGGATCTTGGCTTGCATCAGAGGGTTTCACCAATGATCTGAGGCCCCTACAGTTGGAAAGAGTGAGTGACTGCACCTGAGTTAGCTCTAGCAATTCCTTGAGTTTGCTCCAGTTTCGAAGACAGAGAGTTTTTAGCCGAGAAAGTCTATTCATATCTTCTGGTAAGTTCTCAAAATCATTTCCGCTGAAGTCCAGTTTTTCTAGGAGTTCCAAGTGACCAATCCCATCTGACAGTTTTTGGATATTTAAGTTGACTAGTTTTAGCTTTTCCAGGGCAGGTATATATGGAAAACTGTGAAAGGTGACAGGTCGACTGTTCTCTTTGTAGCTGAACCTCCTGATATTGAGCGAAGTAGATTTGTTGAGCTCCGAGACGAGCCGAGGAGCTTGGTGGACACTTACTGTCCTTGTAGCATGGATCTTTTGCTCAGTACTAAAGGAGAAGTATTCAGCATATCCTTCAAAATCTGCGAAAATACGAAACTTAATGTCTCCCATGATTGACATATTCATAAGTTGCATTTCCACGCTTGCAGTTGGGAACTCCAATGTAATACGTTGCGTCTGAGACACTTTCCGTATAACAACACCCATGGGACTCTTAGGCCCACCGTAGTATGATAGGTTAAGCCTGCCTAAGGTAGACCTTTCTCCAATTGACTCTGGAATTCCTTTTAGTCTCTTGCATTGTTCTAGAATCAACTCGTCAAGCTTCTGGTTACATGAAAGATCTGGAAGTTGTTTGAGATTCTTAGATCCCGTCACATCTAGTTTCTTCAATTGAAAGAACGTCTGAGGAATGTACAACAAAGAATAGTTGGATTTTGCATATTGCTAGAGCGAAAACATTAACACATGGTCAAAATAATAAGCAAGGTTACCAGTACTCCACTCCAGAGTGTTTCTAGGTTGCTGTGACGCAGAATGAGTTCAACAAGACAATATGTGTTAAACGTGAAAGGCAATGTGCTCAATGGAAATGCGTCCCAGTGGAGTAGGGTACCATTCATGGAAGGGTATTGATCGTCACGAATCACCTGCAGCCTCGATCCTCTGTCGTCAACATGCTTGTAAACCTTGACAAACCTAAGTTTATACATTTTGCCAAAAACACCGGTCTGCATCGAAAATGCACAGGTCATTTTACATATGTGTAGGGAGATGCTTTCAGTTTGTCCAATTCCTTGGAGATAGAAACTATTTAAGTGAGCATGATAAGTTGCAGGATGACAAGATGAATATCAAAGATTAAGTAGATACTTACTACTCGGTAATCCAGTGCTTCATGAATTTTCTCCGGATCACCGATGAATTTTCCACTGTCAAGCATAATTTCCCTTCCCATTTGTTCAACCAACTTATGTAGGATTACATATCCATTAGTTGTTTTATTGATGAGAGATTTCTCAGCTAAAACTCTCATCCACATGTTACTTTCAAGTCTCCAATTAGCAATAGCAAGTAGTGAAGTGACACGCCGGAAAGTGTAAAGAGACATGCAACATGGAGAAAAGCATTCTGATGTGCTTTTGCTAAGCCCTCGTAGCTAATTTTCAAGATTTCCATTATATTGTCGTCAGGAGTACTTTCAAGTCCACATACTGCTTCTTCCCATTCCTCAGGAGAGTTGGCCCTTCTGCGGAGAAATAAGGCATAGGCTTGAAGGGCAGAAGGAAGCCCGTGAGCAAGCCGAGCTGCTCGGATTGAGAGTTGTTCAAAATCAACA